CATCGTACCAACATTGAGGTGCCTATATTCGTGGCTGAAGTTTGTCACCACTACCTTTGTGTTGCCATCACGCAGCTTAGCTATGCCTCTTGCGACGCAAATCTGATGGTTTAAGAGCAAGTGCTGATCACTCTCGACGACGCCTCAATGTTTTTTTTATTTTTTGGTGCCGACGAAAATAATGACACTTGATAAAGGCGGCATGGTGACGAGCTCTTCTATACACTCAAGGCGTGGTTCTCTGGAATCGTGTAGGGTGGCAGCTCTTTTTCTTAGGTTAGTGGAATTGATTCAGACCTCAGATCGATTACAGTGCCATGGTGACTTAGGAAGTCCATACCGTGTATAACGTCCCATGAGCACTGTTGTGGGATAACAAAGCTAGCAGGAATAGTCAGGCCGTTACTAAAACACGTTGGGGGGCTAGTTGGTTTGCATTCATGAATTTGAATAAGCACAAACAGACAAGGTCCTTGTCTGTTCACACTTTCTCACAGTTCAAGCTGTTGATTGTGACTCTGACTGTGCAAACTCCTACCAGCGTTATCAGGTGGCCTCCAGCAGTCCAGATTTCGAGTCAATTCCAAGCAGTTTTTACTTTCTTCAGCTTGGCGGTGAAGGGCCCTCTGACGGAATAGTTGGCACAAGTGCTGTCGAGAGCCGTGACTTGTGACCGTCGATGAAAACGTCGACGTCACTAGTTCGTCTTGCGTTACAATTGGGTCGCAGCGTCGAATCAAGGCTACGTCAGTTTGTTCCGCGGCTTCTATGTTGCATCATCAGGCCTCCTGGTCGTGAAGTTTCCACGTCAGAGCTGCGCTTGGTGTGCAGCAGGTTCCTGAGGCTTCATCGCGTCAGTAGTAGAGGGTCTTGGGTGGTTTGTCTTACATCAACCACACCTCCATCAATTGCTGACCTTAGCTTTCTGGGTAAGGGCTCGGAGATAGGCCCCGAGTAGGACGGGCATACTGCCTGCGACGTGGCGATGAGTAGCAGCCTGGCGATGGCAAATGATAAGGTTGTCAGGGTTTCGACTGCACTCCTGTGAGGTAGTTGGCAGTGTCGCATGGCCGTTCTTCTGGCTGCGCACGTGGCGTGTTCAAGGCAAAGCCACACAGTCCCATCTCACAGTATTCACAACGACGATACGTGTCACCGGCTTCTTTGCAGTGAAAGCATAGTGAACGCTTGTCAGGTGCACACCAAACGTAGGTCTTCGTCAGCATGTACTGCTGGCCGGCTGGTGGGTACGATGGTGGTGATGGTGGTATATGGCAACGATAGTGCTTCTTTGACGTACTGACGAGGCGTGGAGAAGGTATGTTACATCAGGGTGCAGCGGCATAGCTCCAGGCTTGCGGCTAATGCTGTGTTTGTTCAGGGGTACCAAACGACTGCTGGAGTTCTCTACAAACAGCAAACGACTGCTGGAGTTCTCTACAAACAATCTCAATTATCGAATCCAGCTCAGGTTGTGATCTGGGGAACACCTTCCGAGGAACATGACTGCCCTGATTGTACCCCGCAAATCACTCGTTCTCAGCACTTAAACACACCGTAACTAGTCAAAAGAATGCAGCGATTGAATAGCCTTTCGCAGATTTATAGCGTGTTCTCAATGATTGTGGCCTCTAAAACTAACTCTGCGACTGTCTTCCGTGGGTTGCGCGCAAGTGCAGCGAGGAGTTCTTCTTTCACTCCTCTCATGACTTTTTTTTCCTTGGACATTTCAGTGTCAACAAGGTGAAAAAGCCACGTAATCTTCTCCGTAAACATGGTTACGCTTTCATTCAGCAGCTGCACTAACTCTGAGACCGTTTTCGGTGGCTTGCGCGCTAGTCCAGCGAAAAGTTCTTCCTTCAGTGTTGAAGATTGGGCGAGTTGGTTTGTCGTACTTGAACTGGTATAGCGCATTACGGGGAAGAAGAAACGGCCGAGCAGACCGACACAAGAGGACATAGCGCTCTGTCCTCTTGTGTCGGTCTGCTCGGCCGTTTCTTCTTCCCCGTAATGCGCTATACCAGTTCAAGTTCTTCCTTCACTCCTCTCATGAGGAAACTCACTTTTTTTTTTCCTAGAACATGTCAGCGTCAGCGTAGTGGAAAAGCCACGTCATTTCCTCTGTAAAAATGGTAATGCTCTCATTCAGGAGCTGCACTCGTGTGTTCATTAAAGCGGCTGCTCTTTCTTTTTGAACGACACTTGTAAGTATTGCGAGAAAGCTGGTCGGGAAGATGTGCCACGTTGTCAGGGTGGACTCCATTCTCAAACCAGGTCCTGGCCCAGTCTTCCAACGAGAAGTACACAAAGCGCCGCTTGTTATCGGCGCATCTTATCTAGGTCCTAGTTGTTGAAGATCGAAATCCTCTTTTAACACTCAAGCCATGTCTCAGGATCCTCACATGCTGATTCCCGGAAAATCTGTTGCTCCTTCGACCGCTGCATCACAACGGCAGGTGGAAGCGCAAAGGCTGTCATTGATGCCATTGTCGAGGTCATGGCCATTGTTTTTCGGGTCCTATCAGATAGAAACCTGCACTCCCGTGGCAGACTTCATTGCCTGTGGCTGGCTCGCTGGTCAGGATTGGCATCAGTGTCTCCTTGACGGTTGGGGCTAGACTCACGGCTGGAGGGGTGTGTTCCGTACATGGACCGGGAGGCACCTTCACCAAATATCACGAGGTTGTGATGTCGACGAAGGCAGAGACGACTTGTCCAAAATTAAACCATTTATTTGGCCGAACTTGTGGCTGGGAAACTGAAAGTCGGCTTACGGATATACACACTAGCACTAATAACGGCGAACAGATAGCCAGCCGTCGATCAACTGACAAGTGGTGAAGTGCATCGGCATTTATACAAGTGCCATCAAATATTCCAGCATTATTGCTAGCGGCAACAGAAATTCCAGAATGATCTGTAATGTTCGCATTGTGCGCATAATATTAACAAAATGATCTACTACAGCCTTGAAGCTTCACGAACACTGCAAGCACGGTTTTCACTAGGCATTACTCACAGTGCAACAGGGGCGATAACACAACTTGAGGAAGGAATGTGGCACTACGATCAATAGCAGATTTGCTAGCAACCTTCATTGCCTACTCGCACAGAAAGATTTATAAATTTTCGTTTTAAGCAAGAAAATTATTTTGGAATTCGTGTGTTATTGCGCTCTGTGTTTGCACCGGTTTAAAGGTCATAGCGATGCCTCCTAGCGGTAAGTACATATAAGCTTCACGGATGCGGGGATCATCTAGACAACTTAATCTGCTTTGTCCGGGCTTACTTGAATTATTTACTAGGTATTACTGCCTTCAGTGATTGAGAAACGCTAGACCTACTAGACTGCATTTAACCACATAAAGATGTCCGTTGACAGCCTACGTAGTAAATTTACACAAGACCAGGAAGTGGTACTGATGTGGGCAGCACACCGCTACCTATACACAAACATTTAGAAGTAGAAAGAGCACTACGAATAAAAAAAGTAATCTATAAAAATAAAAAAATTCTTGCATCACACAGAAGTCACAGTTAAAACCAGCATAATCATATATGATTGACAATGTTGCACCAGTGACCATATGTTGGTGCGTAACTGCAACTTAGCAGTCAGGCAACACATCCTTTTAGGGGCGAAGCTCCTTAAGCCGTGGATCGTGTGTCCTTGATGCATGTAGTAGCAGTAGGTAGCCACCTCTCGTATAGTCCTTGGAATGTCTGCTAGATGGCAGTATTTGTATATGATAAAAAGATGCGAGATGGCGGTACTTGGAGTGCTCGCTAGATGGACGGATGAACGAACAGACAGGCATACAGTCAGACGAACATACAGATGGACGAACATGACTGGCGGAGGGATGATTCAAGGTTTACGATAACTCTCTGAATCTTCGCCCTACTCATTATCATTCACTCTGTGGATATACCATGATTTTTTTCCTGGTTTTATTTCAATTGATCCTTTCCTTCATGACGTTATGTTAGCATATAGGTAATGGTATGTTGCCCACATGGGTACCCCTTCCCAGTCCTGTTTGTAACTACACACACTGTCAACGAACAACTACACATGGTTCAATGCTGTCTAGTACGTTTCACATTTCTCAGTTACTGAGGGTAATAATACCTAGTAAATAATTTAAGTAAGCCCGGACAAATTAGATTAAGTTGTCTAGATAATCCACATATTCGTAAAGCTTGTACTTACCGCTAGGACGCATTGCTACGACGTGTAAGCCCGTGCAAACACAGAGCAATAACACACAAATTCTCAAATAGTTTTCTAGCTTAAAAAAAAAGTAATTCGATAAGACTTTCAAAATGAAAAGACATTGAAGGTTGTTAATAAATCTGCTATAGAGCGTATTTTTACTAGGACCGCCTCAATATTCAGTGTACAACCAAACATAAGCAAAATTGAAGGTTTTTTGAAACTGTGGCCACCTGTACACATTATCTCGCACTATACACAACTGAAATTATTTTGGTCTTCAGTAAAACAGTTTTTCAATATGCTATGGCTAATTATCCTGTTTCGCTGAATGCTTTCATTCTATAAAAATACCCAATATTGACCACATTTTCTGTATTCAAGGCTGCATAAAAATTTCACGAAAGTGTGAAAGTTAATAAAGTTTACTTTAAGTAAAAAGCCTACCGTTGCTACAAAGGTAAAAATTTGTTTTAACCTAATTTAGAAAAACAGAACTTTTGGCATGTTTCATGAGCCATGGTTTCCAGCCTGCCAGGAAAATTCACATGAAGCTTGTCGTACTGGAAAACTTTTTTTACACTAAATGTTTTGGAAGAGCATCTTTGGCTTTAGGTAGATGGCCACAAATGGTCAAGCGCCAAGGTTGGTGTGGAATGACACACATCCAGAGAGCAAGTTTAAGGGAATACCGTACTTTTAAAATGTCCTGCATTACTGTTTTCCTGAGCTCAGGACACTTCCTTAGGTAGATGAATAAAATAATAAAAGTTGCTTGACCTACCTTGCATGTGTTTCACAGGAACTGCCAAATCCTTTACTGTCGACGCCTCTTGCTGTGTCTGCTCACCCCCTGCACACAATGTGGGTGTAGCTGCACTTAATCAAGCTCCTCAACAATCATTAAGTAATAACAGCTGCCTTTCTTCAACTTCCATAACAAAATTGCAGGCAACCTCTTGCGGAACAAATTTGCACTTAGCTAGGCGACGTACCAAACGTGCAGGGCTGTCTGCCCCACCATATTAGCTCAACAAACAGCCCAGAATTCCAATTGGTAGATTTATCCAAAACTGAGCAATTACAGCCTGATATTTACTCTGCAGAGCAAGCTTCTAAAGCAGGCCAGCAATGACTCTCCAATGTGCAGCTACAAGTAAGTAACTTGTTCTTCCAATGCTCATCATAAGGTATTGCAAACGTAGTCTGGCCAGTTTTATATTGCCCCCAACCCAGCTTCCAACAAGCCCTCATGTAGCCATATATACAGCAGACTATCAATAAATGGAAATCTGTTAAACGAAACTGTTGATTAAACAGAACAACTGCCTCTAACATAATTGATTTCCTACTTTCATTCTGCAGCCTTATTCAGCTCTCAGTAAATGGAACTCCTGTTAAATGGAACATATTTTCCTAGTCCCTTCAGGTTCCATTTAATGAGAGTCTCTTGTATGTGCATTTAAACCTGAGAGTGTTAGCACTGTGCATATGAATGGTCAGGTTTGCAAATGCAGGGCATTTTTTTCAAAGCAATACAGATCTTTCCTTAAAAAGCTATAACAGTGAGGCACTTGCAGTCTTTGCAGACCATTTCTATGTCGAAGCGGAAAGATCTTGCCACTAATTAGGCAGATCATTCCAAAATGAATAAATAACAAGAAAATTTCAATTAACATTTTTATTATAAATTTTGGGGTGATTGTATTAGAAAGTTGTTTTATGTCGCCGATTGCCCAGCTTTCAAACATTGAAAGTAGTGTGTGTAGTTTCAGAAATCTATCATTGAATTTTCAGACTACAATGCGGGAGAAACTGAATGCTTTGGACGTGCGACACAATGCGGGAGAAACTGGTTGTCATGATACAGAGGCGTGAAAAAAAAAAAGAATTGAGTGTTCGCCGTGCGGGGACGAAAAGGAAAACGAAGTGTGCGCGTGGTGCGTGCGGTGGTTCGAGGCAGCGCGTGCAAGGAGTCAGTCGTCGGCTGGACATCTGGTCCGGGGAACTAGACAACGGCATCTAGGTGCTCTACGGTTCCTGGACTCCAGCTGGGCGACTGGCCCAGGGACCAGGCGATACACTGCTGTTCTGCCTGCCGTTCCGGACAGCTGGTCATCCTGTGAACGAGGCCTGTACTCCGGCTGGGCGACTGGCCCAGGGACCAGGCGAGGTTCCGCGGTGATGGCTGCCGTCCAGAGTGGCTGTGGGTTTTGGTTTCTGCGGGCCTGATCTTCCTGCTGCCGTTCCGGGTGGCTGGCGCGACCCGGGTGGCTGGCGCGACCCCGGTGTGCTGCTGAGACGAGCGTGGTGGTGGAGAGCTGCTGCAGAGCTACCAATCAGCTACCGACTGCTGCTGCTGCTGCGGCAGAAGGCCGTGTCACGGCGTGGTCCGACGCACGTTGAGGACGGCAACGAGCCAGACGGCGCACAGCCCACGAGCGATCGGCGCCGGCGACCCGCAAGCTACATAAAAAAACGGCGAGACTTTTCTAATTTAGAAAGACATTGAGCACAGCTATAGACTGCGTGTTTCTACTACTTTAAGTGTTACTCGTTCATAGTTACGTTCTCTGTAAATATATTCTCGTGTGTGTGTCTGTGTGCTCGTGATTCAATTCAGTTCCTTGCTGAGTGGTCCTGGGCCCAAAACTGGCACTACGTCACAATCTGGCGAGCCTGCCAGGATACCACTCGTATAAACGTCGAAGGAAGCTATCGTCTCTCGAGTGCACATTCACAAAACTTGTTCTGATGATGGACACAGAAAGATTAGCTGCTGTTGGGGCACAACTAGGATTGAGTGGCGCAGAATTTCACAAGTGGGTTGAGGAAGAACACGCGAGGCAAAGAGATGAACATGCTGCTAAGAGAGAGTCGAGCAGGAAAGCAGATGAGAGAGCGAAGCAAATCCTTGAGCTGAAGCTAAAGCTTCAAGAAGGAGCTCCGAGGGTAGATGCAGCAGCTGACTCTGATTCTATGGCTCAGCCAAGTAGCTCCTCTGCAGTACTGAATCCACAAAAATTGCTTCCGCTGTTCGATGAGCGACGTGATGATTTGCATGCATACTTGCAAAGATTCGAACGCATGGCAATAGAACAAGGCTGGCCACAAGAGAAATGGGCATTAGCTGTGAGCATGTGTTTGAGTGGCGAAGCGTTGACAGTAATTGGCCGAATGACTGCCACAGATTTCCTAGACTATGAGAAAGTAAAGAAAGCTTTGTTGCAGAGGTTTCGATTCACTGCGCAAGGGTACCAAGAAAAATTTCGCATGGCACGACCAGAAGATGGAGAAACCGGGAGACAGTTAGCCGCGAGACTCTCATGGTACTTTGACCACTGGGTTGACATGGCTGATGTACCAAGAACATTCGATGGCCTTCGAAACCACATGCTCGCCGAACAGTTTCTCCGCTGTTGCCATCCAATACTAACGATATTTTTTAAAGAACGCGAGTGCAAGTCACTCCAACAGCTAGTTGACGCTACTGATCGCTTCATGGAAGCGCAGAATCTGTCAAACCTGGGAAAGGGTACAGACAACACCAAAAAATTCAAGAGTCTTGATAATGCTCCCAAGAAACCACCGACAAGATGCATGCTATGCAAGTGTCTGGGATATCAAGCACATGAATGTCGGAACCCAGCTAAAGAAGCGACAAAGTGTAGAGTATGTGGGAAAATTGGCCACAAGAGCGACGAGTGCTGGAGCATGAAGGCACAGAAAGAAAAAAGTTCCGCATGTGCAGTGAACGAGAACCGTTATGGTTTCCCATCGAGTGACAACACTGGCGAAGGGCAAAAAGTAAAGAAACGTGACCCTCCTAATGCAAGTGTGGATGAAAGGATACCAGTATTTCTGGTACAAAGAATGCCAGTTGTTGAAGGCGAAGTGTTGGGTAAACTAGTCAGGGTTCTTCGAGAAACGGGCAGTAATACTGCAATTATCCGAAGAATCCTAGTGCCAAAACAACGGTTGACCGGGAAGAGAAGCAGAGTCTTACTCATTGATGGATCCGCCATAGAAGTACCGGAGGCCAAGATTTCCGTGAACACCCCATACTTTAAGGGAGAGATAACCACACTTTGTATGGACAAGCCACTTTAGGATTTGGTGCTTGGTAACCTACCAGGTGTCAGAGATTCTCACAAGCCGGATCATAAGTGGAAGCCTCCTACAGTCGACAAGAGGGATAATGCGACGTGAAACTGCAGCACGGAAGCTGAGGAGTGTCCTCACTATGTTTCCGCTATGGTTAAACCTCACGAGGACAAAATAACACCATTGTCCGTGCCAGAAATAAAATGATGCGACGTAACAAAAGACCAGTACTCAGAAGAGCAACAGAACGACAAAACATCAAAGCCGTGTTTGCTAAAGTCGGTAAAGATTTCAAGTCACCGAATGGCCACAGTTACACGTTTCTTGAAAGAGGAGGACTTCTTTACCGACAATACTAGCTTGCGACAAGCAGGACGTTTAGCCATCTCGTCGTGCCGAAGATCTTCAGGGAGCATATCCTTGAAGTCGGCCAAGAAAGTCTTAAGGCAGGGCACCAAGGCATTCGGCGCACGACAGATCACATTTTAGCAGATTTTTACTGGCCGGATCTGCATGGCGACGTGAAACGATTCGTCAAGTCCTCCGATAAGTGTCAGCGAACGACACCAAAAGGCCAAATTGGTGTTGCGCCTCTAGGAAACATGCCTGTCATTCGTACGCCTTTTGAGCGTGTTGCGGTCGATTCAATCGGTCCGTTTTCACCGAAGTCGGACCGTGGCAACAGTTAAGTTTTAACTCTTATCGACTGCCGAGCGATATGCGGATGCCATTGCACTCCCTGCAATTGATGCTGTGAATGTAGCTGAAGGACTGATTGAGATTTTCTCTCGAGTCGGCTTACTGAAGGAGACCGTTACTGACCAAGGAAGAAGTTTTACAGTGGAACTCATGGGAGAGGTGGACCGTCTTCTTTCTATCAAGTTTCTTCGAACGACCTCCTACAGTGCCATGGCAAATGGGTTCGTTGAGAAGTTTAATGGAACGCTGAAGATAATGCTCAAGAGGATGTGCCGGGAAAAAACACGATCCTGGGACAGGTACCTCGCCCCACTCCTTTTCGCTTACAGAGAGGTGCCGCAAGCGAGCTTGGGCTTCTCCCCTTTTCAGATAATTTATGGTCATCACGTGCGAGGACCACTGACAGTGCTGAAGGAGCTGTGGAGCAATGAAGACATCAACAGTGAAATTCGCACTACCTATACCTACTTGGACGACCTTCGAAACCGCCTGGAAAAGACATGCAAACTTGCGCATGATGAGTCGGAAAGAGCAGGTGCAAAACAAAAGACTTACTACGACCGCAAAAGCCGTCCTCGAAAGCTAAACGTCGGGGATAAAGTGTTACTTATTTTGCCGACCGATACTAACAAACTGCTCCTGCAATGTAGAGGTTCATTTGAAGTCGTCGAACGCAAGAATGAGGTCGACTACGTTCTCGCGATAAGTGGAAAAAGAAAAATTTTCCACATTAACATGCTCAAAAAGTACGAGGAACGCGAACCTTTACCAGGGCAGCAGGTGTCGGTCATAACCGAAGTTGAAGGGCCACCGGTAGCGAACGAGAAAATGTCAAGCGAAGAAAGCTCACATGAGATTCCTTACCCTAGCTTATTTCGCACACAGACTGCGGATGATGTGAAATTATCAGAGAATCTGAACATTGAACAGCATTCTGATGTGCTTGATTTATTCAAAGAATTTGAGATGATCTTTTCGGACCTTCCAGGAAAGACTGACCTAGTAGATTGCCCGCTACGCTTGACATCCAATAAACCTATACATGTTCCG